GCAATTACCAACATAAAATAAAATATATTTTTTTCTCGCTTTTTATTTTCTTTAAATAATAAATTGTAATAATTTTTAAGAGAACTTTTTTTTAACTCTAATTCGTACGATTTACTTCTTCTTTTAGACAAGGTCCGATTTTAATCCCTGTGTCTTTTGACACATTACATTTTTCTATCCATTATCTCATCTCTTTATTACTCCACCACTCAAGTCACTCTTAAAATAAACGTTCCAAATTGTGTCTTCCTTATCTTTTCTGCTGATGCAGTTGCCATGAAATACTCTGCTGATCACTGTAGCTTTCATTACAGCAGTCCCTATAATCATTGCTTTGTTAGGTGCGGTTGTGTTATTGTTGTCAGGTATTATTTAATTTATATTTTCACAAGATGATGATACTATACTAAGTCTACATTTATCTTCATTTTGTACCACTGTTACTCAATACAGTGGCGGCTGTTTATTTAATATTTTCATTTGATTTATATTTTTTACAAATTGGTGTTGATCATATTTAAAAGTACAAAGAATAACTAAAATAAACTATATTAGTATACAGTAGATTTGCGGAAACATATCATCCACATTCACGCTTACCGGTTAATTTCGTGAGAGCCACGCGGAAACAGCACTTGTTTTTAAATCGCTATATCATTCTTTTATTGCACCAAGATTGCTGAAATTGAACCAAAAACTTCTTTGAACTATAAACTATAATACTGTATATTTAGACATATAAAATTAAAAACTTTATCCCTCCTTTTTAAAAAAAATACGCATTAAATCAAAGTATCGAATTATCGAATATAATTTTTTTTTTTCTTACCATGTCTCAAAATGTTTTAATAATTTTAAATCTATTTTGATGTTTTAAGAATTGGTTTCAAGTATGACATTTAATTTTCACTAACAGCTGAGTTTTATCGAGTTGCACTATCAAAATCAAGAAATAATTTTTTCAACTTTTTGCTTTAAAAGTCAATTTTGACCATGAAACCCCAATTTAAACAAAAACAAATATAGTATTCGTGTTCAGCACCCCTGTAAACAGTAAGATGAAGTTTTTTTAGCGACTAAAACGAGATTGATCGGTACCCAAAAAAAAATTCGGGCTGATCCGCTCTTTTAATAGTATACATAAAACACTTCGTTCTAAAACGTGTTCGTAAGACCTATCGAAATATCAGATTAAAGAAAAGTACGACTCTACCAGTAAAACATTAAACTTAAGTAACTAATACGTTTGATTTTATTATTAGTATTTTCACACAGATCTCTACGGTACCTATACCGTTAAAACTACTTTAAATTCTAAAAAATAGGGACAACAAACTATTGACAATGATATATATTTGAAAAATCAAGTAGCTGTCAATTGACAAATTGTTGTTTCAAAAAAGAAAATATCATGAAACATGTATACTGTGTTCAAAAGCTTAACTAAACACAGTAAGTAAGTATTTTGAAATAATTATACAGAAGTTTTAGGTACATTAAATTTTTTTAACTGTGTTATCAAACATGTTAACACCGAACTCAAAATAACAATTTGTTTGTATTAAAAAAATTATGGAATAATTATTATATTTTTTTGATGTACGAATCTTCATGTCATAATTTTTTTGAGCATCGTCCATCAAAGTATTGTGAGTAAAAATGTCTTAGAAATAACGAAAACTTACCGGGAACAAAGCTTGAGCCATATACGGTTCCATATATTGATAATAAAGTGACATAATCTTAACAAGACATTGTAATGCCGCTACTTTAATTTGTGTATTTGTTGACTGAGTTGCTTCACATACAACTTCCATTATGAAATTCCTTTCTGACTGCAATAAAAATAAAATTATAATTTTTACATCACATTACGATTTTAGAATGTAAGTCAAGATTTAAGTAAATTATCGTTTATTTTTAAGTCGATGATGTAATTCTATTTAAAGACATGATACTATTGTCACGTTCTGCAATTAAAACTTATTTACCCATCACAACAGAAATAGCGTTAGTAACGTATTCCTAATGTAACGTCGGTAAACTAAAAATTACCAATAATTTTTCCTCTGCTCATTCCCTAGGAATGTTGTTTTGAAAGCACTGGAGCAAGGACCAACGTGCATCTAAAAAGAGGTGAATAACCGCAAGTTACTGATACTTGCAGTACAATGGTGATTTATGTACATGCACGCTGGCTTATGCTAACCGGAAATGAGAAACAAAATATTTTTCGACAACCAGAGATGCAAAAGTTCAACTGGGAACAGTTAAACTGAAATACTAAACGCAAATATATTTTTGGATTAACATAAAGTTAAACATTAGGATAGCTTAGAATTAATACATAAAAATAAGCGAAAACATTAGTTAAAGCCAGAATCGTCACAAACAACCAGTACACACTACACCACTAGCAAACAAGTACATTACATATTAACTATAACAAACCTGGTACACAACATTAGTAACCTTCAAGGGATTACCCGATTTTTACCATTCAAGTTCGCAAGCTCATGATTTACAGAGTAACTCTTTTTGCATCGCAATAATAATTTCATAAACATACTGCAATAGTCTAATTTGTCATCTAGTTGATTGCTAACTCTTTTTTCTAAATGTAAAGGAAAACGGAAAGTAACCCTTTCCCTTTTCTTGACTCGGAGAGAGAGAGTCCGTACGCCTGCCTCCAATAGGGGTAACAGAGTTTCTGAGTCCTTAGAGTACCACGAGATGACTTCCTCTCCAACTACTAGCAGTAGAAAACCATGTTGACTAAAATTCTATTAAAATTCCGTATTATTTTTGTAACATTATAAACATCCACAACTACCGGTAAACCTAATTATGTTAACTCGCGACAGGCAAAGCACTATTATTCTGACAACTGCTATTCTTATTATCATTATGTAATCGATAGTCTTACAACTTTTGTTTAAAACTTTTTTTTATTTGACGAGCCTGAAGAGAGTAAAAAAACTGTATTTGGCATACTGGGCCCCATTTACTATGGATTCTCAGTGTGCCAGTAGTTTGTATTTTAGTTTTTTGAATTCTAAGGAAAATTTTCGATTTTTTAAGTATTTTTGTTTACTGTAACTCTGAAGTAAAAATTTAACATGGGGCTGAAAATAGACAGACTGTACTGTTCCAACTTTTTAAAATTGTTGGTATTTTATTAGGCAATAGAGTAACTGATTCGTCAATTGTTTCGATCCCTGTGTTTCTATAAACTGCGGCAGACTAATACCGCTATGAATAAAAGTAAGATACTACTATCGAAGTGAGCATTTAATAGTATATGGTTATAATTTTGCAATTACCAACATAAAATAAAATATATTTTTTTCTCGCTTTTTATTTTCTTTAAATAATAAATTGTAATAATTTTTAAGAGAACTTTTTTTTAACTCTAATTCGTACGATTTACTTCTTCTTTTAGACAAGGTCCGATTTTAATCCCTGTGTCTTTTGACACATTACATTTTTCTATCCATTATCTCATCTCTTTATTACTCCACCACTCAAGTCACTCTTAAAATAAACGTTCCAAATTGTGTCTTCCTTATCTTTTCTGCTGATGCAGTTGCCATGAAATACTCTGCTGATCACTGTAGCTTTCATTACAGCAGTCCCTATAATCATTGCTTTGTTAGGTGCGGTTGTGTTATTGTTGTCAGGTATTATTTAATTTATATTTTCACAAGATGATGATACTATACTAAGTCTACATTTATCTTCATTTTGTACCACTGTTACTCAATACAGTGGCGGCTGTTTATTTAATATTTTCATTTGATTTATATTTTTTACAAATTGGTGTTGATCATATTTAAAAGTACAAAGAATAACTAAAATAAACTATATTAGTATACAGTAGATTTGCGGAAACATATCATCCACATTCACGCTTACCGGTTAATTTCGTGAGAGCCACGCGGAAACAGCACTTGTTTTTAAATCGCTATATCATTCTTTTATTGCACCAAGATTGCTGAAATTGAACCAAAAACTTCTTTGAACTATAAACTATAATACTGTATATTTAGACATATAAAATTAAAAACTTTATCCCTCCTTTTTAAAAAAAATACGCATTAAATCAAAGTATCGAATTATCGAATATAATTTTTTTTTTTCTTACCATGTCTCAAAATGTTTTAATAATTTTAAATCTATTTTGATGTTTTAAGAATTGGTTTCAAGTATGACATTTAATTTTCACTAACAGCTGAGTTTTATCGAGTTGCACTATCAAAATCAAGAAATAATTTTTTCAACTTTTTGCTTTAAAAGTCAATTTTGACCATGAAACCCCAATTTAAACAAAAACAAATATAGTATTCGTGTTCAGCACCCCTGTAAACAGTAAGATGAAGTTTTTTTAGCGACTAAAACGAGATTGATCGGTACCCAAAAAAAAATTCGGGCTGATCCGCTCTTTTAATAGTATACATAAAACACTTCGTTCTAAAACGTGTTCGTAAGACCTATCGAAATATCAGATTAAAGAAAAGTACGACTCTACCAGTAAAACATTAAACTTAAGTAACTAATACGTTTGATTTTATTATTAGTATTTTCACACAGATCTCTACGGTACCTATACCGTTAAAACTACTTTAAATTCTAAAAAATAGGGACAACAAACTATTGACAATGATATATATTTGAAAAATCAAGTAGCTGTCAATTGACAAATTGTTGTTTCAAAAAAGAAAATATCATGAAACATGTATACTGTGTTCAAAAGCTTAACTAAACACAGTAAGTAAGTATTTTGAAATAATTATACAGAAGTTTTAGGTACATTAAATTTTTTTAACTGTGTTATCAAACATGTTAACACCGAACTCAAAATAACAATTTGTTTGTATTAAAAAAATTATGGAATAATTATTATATTTTTTTGATGTACGAATCTTCATGTCATAATTTTTTTGAGCATCGTCCATCAAAGTATTGTGAGTAAAAATGTCTTAGAAATAACGAAAACTTACCGGGAACAAAGCTTGAGCCATATACGGTTCCATATATTGATAATAAAGTGACATAATCTTAACAAGACATTGTAATGCCGCTACTTTAATTTGTGTATTTGTTGACTGAGTTGCTTCACATACAACTTCCATTATGAAATTCCTTTCTGACTGCAATAAAAATAAAATTATAATTTTTACATCACATTACGATTTTAGAATGTAAGTCAAGATTTAAGTAAATTATCGTTTATTTTTAAGTCGATGATGTAATTCTATTTAAAGACATGATACTATTGTCACGTTCTGCAATTAAAACTTATTTACCCATCACAACAGAAATAGCGTTAGTAACGTATTCCTAATGTAACGTCGGTAAACTAAAAATTACCAATAATTTTTCCTCTGCTCATTCCCTAGGAATGTTGTTTTGAAAGCACTGGAGCAAGGACCAACGTGCATCTAAAAAGAGGTGAATAACCGCAAGTTACTGATACTTGCAGTACAATGGTGATTTATGTACATGCACGCTGGCTTATGCTAACCGGAAATGAGAAACAAAATATTTTTCGACAACCAGAGATGCAAAAGTTCAACTGGGAACAGTTAAACTGAAATACTAAACGCAAATATATTTTTGGATTAACATAAAGTTAAACATTAGGATAGCTTAGAATTAATACATAAAAATAAGCGAAAACATTAGTTAAAGCCAGAATCGTCACAAACAACCAGTACACACTACACCACTAGCAAACAAGTACATTACATATTAACTATAACAAACCTGGTACACAACATTAGTAACCTTCAAGGGATTACCCGATTTTTACCATTCAAGTTCGCAAGCTCATGATTTACAGAGTAACCCTTTTTGCATCGCAATAATAATTTCATAAACATACTGCAATAGTCTAATTTGTCATCTAGTTGATTGCTAACTCTTTTTTCTAAATGTAAAGGAAAACGGAAAGTAACCCTTTCCCTTTTCTTGACTCGGAGAGAGAGAGTCCGTACGCCTGCCTCCAATAGGGGTAACAGAGTTTCTGAGTCCTTAGAGTACCACGAGATGACTTCCTCTCCAACTACTAGCAGTAGAAAACCATGTTGACTAAAATTCTATTAAAATTCCGTATTATTTTTGTAACATTATAAACATCCACAACTACCGGTAAACCTAATTATGTTAACTCGCGACAGGCAAAGCACT